ACCTCACTCACCCGCTAAAGTGATATATTGATCACCGAGTCAACTATCCAGAATCTCGAGTTTGCCAGAACCACATGTACCGGGGCCGACCGATCGCACTTTGGTCTTATCATCTCGCCCCGTGTCCTACCACACCGCTTTCCAAGACAAAGGCTCATGGGCAATCTACTCGGCCCGAATAATCTCCCGGCTTCATGGTCGGAAGGTACTTTATCCGCCAGCTAAATGTAAGGCATGCGTTCAACATGACTCGAGGGCCAACAACGGTCGGTCCTTAATCGACACAGACGGAAACTAACAAACCCCGAACCCCGTGCGGTTGCCTCCAACTTTTTCCGTCCGGTCTCCAATTATCCATCACACATGGTTAATTCCAGGATATCATTCTTTCCATAGCTAAATTCTTCCAGTAACCACCTATAATGTAGGTGACCGGATATCTTCGATCGCTACCGGTCTAAGCAAGGCTAAGCAGTTATTCGATCCTGACCTAACAGGGTAAAAAGGTAATAAGGTAGGCAAGGATAGTAATAAATGCATCAACGGTTTCAATCAACTCCTACAACTTAATGCAACAATATATAACTCGTATATAGAAAGAATTGCTTTTATAATTAGGAGACTTATAATGCTCCGGGGCTTGCCTGGGATCCGACACAAGTCAGTTCAGTTAGCTTGCACCGTCCTGGTGACGTCTCAGGTCCTAGCATTCGCTTAGTCCTTCCATCTTCGGGATAGATCCTCCATACATCATCTTCGGGTTCGGCTTCAACATCATGTTCTTCACGTGGTTCATCTAGCGCACCTAGATGAGATGCCAGATGCATGTGTATGAATGTGATGAATGGTAACACAAGATGCATCGCATAAGCATACGAGACAAACAAGTTATTATGCAAGACATAGACACCAAAAACTATTTAACTAACATCACACCACTAACTATAGAGAGCAAGCACATCAAGCATGGCACAAGTTTCCCAAGATCTCAGGTGCTCTAACTCAGTCATCATTCAAGGCATAAGTCACACTTAACAATATACAAGCAAACACTATAATTGGAATATGCCAATTTCTGGACATGCAAACAGCAGCTACAAGATTTAGCTATAACTGGAGTTACGCAAATCCAAATGACTTGCAACAAGACATTCTGGAAAGCTTATGAAATTTTCTACAATTCATCTTTAATCATCTTAGCATGATTCTCAAGTTAACTAAGTCAAATATATCCATTTACAGAAACTGGTCCACAATTGACAGAAAACAGCCATTTCTGAAACCCAACTTTAAACAGCTGTAACTCTTAAACTACTTGACCAAATGACACCAAATTTTAATATAAGCTAGATACATGAATTATCTATAACTTTTGTATAAATAAGTTTCACAACAAAGCACATTATCATGAAGAACTTTGCTAAGTTACCAGATCTGTCCAAAAACCACATTTGCAAGAAAATAAATATTAACTTATGTTGCAACTACATAATTGGGCAAAACCAACTTTACCAAAATTTCACACATAACTAAAGAACACCAGAAAACCTAGTGTCCATGACCAAATAAATTCTTTTAATGCATTTCTTAATTTATTTTAGATAACAAGGTGACTTAATGAACATATACCAAAAGAGCACAATAACTTCTACAAAAATTACAGTGGCTCACATATCCTCTCAATAGTCTACTGTACAAATTTCACTCCATTTGGATATGTATAGCAACCTCTATGAAAAAGACAAGTTGCTAAAGCAAGAATTCATGTGAGAGCAAGATAAACCAATAACTCACTCATACTTCATCCAATACTAATGAAATTTTTACCACACATCAACTATCACATGAGTAGCATGCCACAAAAATTTCACTTCATTTGGAGCCCTAGATCTACAGTTATGAAAAATAACAAATTCAACTAGCATTACAACCTTACTGCACAAATCTATTTTTACCGCAAAATATTTAAACTAAAACATGCCATATTATAGATCCACTGCATAGAAAATTTCACAAGGATTCCAAAAAGTCCTCATTTACTATTTTACGAATTTTCTACGATTTACTATGAATTTCTAAAGTTCCTGCAAAATAATTACAAACCAGTCCTTACGGCACTATTCACGTGAGTCTATGACATTGCAGCTAGGCCCTTGACTTTCGTCGAATTGTCGCGCGAGGTCCCTGACGCGAATTTGGAGCATAGGGTCGCCGGGGGTCGCTGCTCCGGCCGGAGGAGGCCATTCCGTCGGCGGCTGAGGGGCGAGGGAGCACCGGTGGGTCCACGCGCACCCGTAGGTGGCCGCAGCTTGCTCCGAGGAGGCCCGACGTGGCCTGGCCACGCACGCCGGCGGCCTGGACGACGGCGGGAGGCGACAGCTTACCGGCGGCGGTGCTCCGGTGGCCGATGGCTTGGGCGAGCGTGCGCGCGAGGTGCAGCACGACGAGGCAAAGGCGGTGGTGCACGTGGCTGTGGCCATGGGGGCATGGAGCGGCGAGGACGCGGTGGCAGCGAGCTCGGCCAGCCGGCCATGGCGGACGCGCGTCTCGGCACGGAGCGAAGCGAGGAAGAGCAAGTGAGGGAGAGCGCTGGGGAGTGGGGAGCTCGGCGTCCAGCTCTATACCGCGCAGGGGAGGCAGGGCGCGTGGCAGAGGAGGCAGGGCATGCGGCAAGGAAGCTCGGCAATGGTGGCCACGTCCACGGACACGCGGCGTCCTTTGAGGCATTCTACCGAGCACGTGGCGGGCGACGGTATGACCGACGTGGGGAGCCGATTTGGGCCGCTTCCGGGCTGAATCAGACATTGGGCCAAAAATGAAGTTTGTTCACCTCAGCCTGCTCTACATTTTTAATTAAGGCACTCCAGTCATTTGAGCAACATAATCATGGTTAATTTAATCTTCAAAGTGGCATTGTCAGTGCATTGATGGCGATTAACAAACTCCAAAATTGAGGGTCATACCAAGGTCAAACGAGTGCCATACTTTTACATGATCTTCTCCATGAACTTAGCTCCAACTTTTATCTTTGGACCAAATCGAGTTGCTTAACAAAATTTGGAGAACGCGAGACGTCAATGCCGATGTCGATGAATTTCTAGACTTAGAATATTTCTAAGTGCTGAAATCAGCAGCAAATTCGATCTTGTGACCTCGATTTGACTTACTTCCAAGATGATCTAGCTCTTAGTCTAAAAACAAAGTTTGTTCTACATGATATGGACTACAACTTTCATTTAAGGTCCAACCTCAAAACTGGTATATAACCTACTGTTCTACTTTGACCAAAGTAGGATCACGATGAAGCTTAAATTATCCTTTTTGATCCATTGGAGCGTTTTCTTGGTATTTGCCCAACATGAACCTTTCATGACTTTTGTTGTAGAGTTCATCTAGAGTCATTTGGGAATGGTTGCAAGATTTGGTTGACGATCGAGAATTCCATTCACTTTATAAATTAATTCAAGCAAGGACATAACTCGTCATTTCATGTGACTTTTTGATTCTAAACTTCATGAAACTTTTCGAGTGCCCAATATAGATGGGTATTGATGTGAGACACATGAAAATATCCCAATCACACCACCCAAGCATATATCTTGAAAAGGGGTCTATAGGTGAGCACAGGTGCCATATCCAAGTTTAGGTTGGGGCTCGTTTCTATAGGTTTGACCTTGACATCTTCATCATTACTTAATATGCCATGTTTGAGCTCAAACCCATTGCTTAACTGGTGGCAAACACCTGGGGTGTTACATTCATCTGGTTTCAGCTCACTACTTTATACGTTCTAACTTCTGATCAGTTGACTGACACTTTTTAGTTGGCTTCTTTTTTCAAAAAAAGAAATTATCTTTCGCCGATCAGAAAAATCATTTGTATTCTTTGTTTTTTTTTTTTTTCGTACTGATTGGTTCCTTGTGCATGTGTCCTCTTTTGAGTGGTTGAAAAAAATGACCGAAACACAAACAGAATAAGTCGAATCGAATCTCGAGTATTCACTTTTGGTTGCCTGTGCACGTGTCCTGTCCTGGTTGAAAAAAATCGGCTGTAACACAAACTGAAATCAGTCGATTGACGTGTAGTCACTTCCTTTTTTTAGAGAGAACTTGTTGTGTGATATTGGAAAAAAAAGTGATATTGAGTCTTTCGTGTTGTGAACGTTATTGTGTCTTTCATGTCGTGAACGTTATTGTCGATACCATTTGGAATTGTGGTTGTTTAGAGCATCTTTAAAAGTCTTTCTAAAATCTACTCTCTAAGTCATTATTTAGGAACTTTTGAATAAAAATCGTTTTCTATATATTTTTTCAGTTGGAGTGTATTTTTCTATAAAAATTGCCTCTCTAAATCGCAATATATTTTTTTCCAGTTGGAGAACCATTTGCATATAATTCATCAATTGGAGTGCTTTTTTTTTATCAAAATCTCTATTCCTAATAATTAGAATCGGAATGATATAGAGAGTCTATTAGAATTGCTCTTATAGCAGGACACTGTAATGGTTGTGATACTGTATTTTTCAGATTTGAGGAGAGGCGAGAAGAGGGAAATGTCTTTTATGCTATATTGTCTTGGTGGTGTGCAATGCAAATACTGCACTTGTTTGATGTGTCACGGCGAAATCTTCCTTTTTTGTCTTTATAAAAGCAAAAAAAAAAAAAAAGTTGCTTCTTGGTTGCGTGTTGCTATCGCACAAAGAATTTGATGAGCAGAAAAGGGGCACAAAAAGGTATTACTGCATTTGTTTGGAGAAATGCTATACCTATCGTCGGCCAGATCATGATGCATCATATGTTGAGTGTAAGCATGGATGGATGACACCAATTAGCACTATCATCACGCATCTGGAACAATCCGTCCACTCACTGGTATACTGAGGGTGACGCAAGCACACGCTACGTGTGCCACTCCTAATATTGTACTGCAAGTTAATCTTTCTAGAGAGAAAAAAAGAGGCTGGAGTAAACAGCGCGTGCTCTTTAATTAATTTGGGTACGCTAGTATGGTTGCGCGGCGGCGGTGGAGAGGGTGAATCCGGAGAGCATGGCGGACAAGGCGAGCGCAGCAAAGGCGATGAAACCCAGGCTGATGGCGGCCGTCATGGCGTCCGTGAAGACGTTGAGGACGGCGGATCTCATGCGGAGGGTGATGGGGAGAGCCGCCGCCGACGCCGTGATGAGCAGATACGCCACCACCTGATCGCCGGCGAAATCCGCGAGGCCTCCACCCGATCCCTGGCCGTAGCCGGCGGCGCGCATCCGTCGGAAGCCCCGAAGCGCCTGCGCGGCGGAGTAGACGCAGGCGAGCACGGAGGCCCCCAGGAGGCACCGGTACTCCGGGTAGCGCGCGAACTCCATCCAATCGCCGTGGCGGCAGGACGCGACGAGCGCGACGGCCACGAACGACATGACCGACGCGGCCGCGCGCAGCAGCAGCAGGAGCCCGTCCAGTGCCCGCGCTCCCGCCGCCGCCTGCTGGTGCCGGTCGTCGTAGTCGTGGCGCGCCGCCGAGGCGCTGCTGGTGGCCGTGGCCGCCGCGCCTCCGTGTCGTCCGTTGTAGGAATCGTACGCCGCCGCCTTGTCGTGGACGACGTAGCCCGGCGGCGGCGGGGGAGGCTTGGTGACGTACGCGCCGGGGCTGGTGGTGGTGCTTTTGGGTGTGGTGGTCATCGCCATGTCCATGCGCATGCCTTAGCGGGCAAGCAAATACAGAGGGCCGACCGGGTGGGCGGATGATCGGCCGGAGCGAGGATGGGTACCTACTTATGCATGGCCGTAGCTACTGGAGTAGTCTAGTGGTGATCGATCGAGTAGGCATGCAATTGCTTTGCTTGCTCGCGCGCGCGGATGCTTATTAGTACTAAATCCATTCTAAGTTATAGTTCGTTTGACTTTTTGACTTCACCACTTATCTTATTAAAAATTTATATAAAATATCACTTTTTTATTGTGGCTTTGTTTTATTAACAAAAGTTTTCTAATAATGGTTTAAATTTAATTATATTGGCATAAAATTTTTAAATAAGACAAGCGGTTAAATGGTCAATCTTGAAGTCAAAAAACTACAGTTTGGAACACCTCTGTCACCTCTAACGTTCAATTTTTTCCCCAAAATAAACGTCTAACATAGGATCTCAGGCCTAATTTGTATAAATGAGTAGTAGCTGCCTCCTGCAACAGGCTGTGGAACTAACAAAATAAAAAAAAATCACCAAATTCTCTCATTCACTTGGAGCCTGTTTGTTTGGCTATGGCTTATCGTAAACGATTGTAAATTTTTAGTTAGAATAGTATTTTTTTCTCACGTAAACCAACCAGCAGTACTTCTTCATGAACCAGCAACGATACGAATCCGTCAACTGAACAGGCGGTCGTTCTCATCTCAACCGCCTGGAGCATGTCAGTCTTTTCCAGAGAATCCATAGGGGCAACAGCATCATTTGCCACCTGCACTAAGGTTCTCATTGAAACTCTAGATGTACAAATAAAATAGGACAAAGAGAGTATAGTTGGAGCGAATCGTGTTTTGCTTTTGTTGATCGATGTGCACGCTTTGATTGCTTTATTCGCCTTTTTCTATAGTACTTTTCTTTTGTTCCGTTGATCAAATCCATCGGCTAGGTTTAAATTTAGCAGCCCGACCGATCCCTCGGCTTGCGTCGCGTGTTAAGCAACCGCCAACTCATGCCTATAGAGGGTCCTCCTTTTGTTCTTCCGTGTTAATCATGAGAGCAGCAATCGATTTAGCTTCTTCGATAACACATGTAACTTTCTTTCTTCGCTCTTTTTCCGCTTGCTTACCCGGCATGCATGTTAAAGTAGCTCTGCCCGTACGTCTTGCCTCCAGTGACCGGATGCCACTGTTTAAGGGCGTGTTTGCTTGAGTGCCCAGCTGCCCAGGCACAGGCAGCGATCCTGAACTCAGGCAGTCGAAATCTGACGCCTGCGGAGCTTCTACCAGGCAAAATTGACTGGAGGTCAACGAAACAACTACGTCCTACTACTATTTAAATTGGGAGGTCTAAAATCAAGGCTAACTTTATCTAAACATGAGGCGGATAGGTAATTGATTTTGGCTACTTTTAGTCCTAATTAATCAGCCTCCTCGGCTGCACTACTTGCAGCGCTGCTGCTGCAAAGTAGTCAGGCCCGGCCCTGAGGGGGGTGGGAGGGACGACCGTCCCAGGCCTAGGTCTCCGATGGGCCCCAACTCATGTATGTATACACTAGTAATACGTAGACGCCAGTAGCCAGATCCCCGACTCTTCGACTACTGTGATCACGGCGCGTGACGCGAGCCTAGAGTCATGAGAGTATGTGACCTTCTGCCTTTCCTTTCCTGCGTATGCGGCGTGGGCGCATGGCGTGTGGCGGGGCCTGGCGGCGACGCGGCGTCCACTTCCAGCAGAGCAGGGCGACAGAGCGGGCGGCAAATCACACCTTACAAGGGCCCTAATCTCACCTCTTATGTGATCCGATCCCTGATTCCCTGTGCAACAATCGGCAGTTCCAGCCGAGGAGGCAGGCGCCAGGCGGTAGCAACCAGCGAGGTAAGGTAGGAATCTGAAATTTAGTTACTAATTGTTTCGATCCCTACTTTATGAAATTATAGTTACTAATTGTTTCAATCCCTACATTGTGCATTGAGAAGTGATTGTTGGTTGAGATTGATATTGACACCATCATCGATGACTTCACATTAAGGAATGTTAGAAGAAAATTTTAAGGTAATTTAATATGTATATAAATTATTTCATATGAATATTGCTTTTGCATTCGGTTAACTGCTTATTAGTAACATTTTGTATATGTGTATATATATGTTACCAATTGATAGTACTAGTACTATTATCATAGTTATATCAAAAGGCTCAAAATTTTAGCTTCGTTCTAGGTCAAAAAAAATCTTAGGACCCGCGCTAAAAGTAGTACGTACAATACAGTGGCAAAAAGTGTATATAGGAAACTACAGACAGTTGCAGCTATAGCCTTCCAAAAAAAATGCAGACGAGCAGTCCCAGTAACTAGCCATGTATATAGATGGCAATTTTACATCAGCAATCTGGACTGTTTTTAAATTACTATCTACCGTTATACTTTGGTGATTTTACATCAGCAATCCTCGGTGATGTTGAAGAGATGATCATAATTTTTCCCTCCATTAGTGTGGTCCACACGAAGATCAACAAACTTCGCCACTCATCTTTGTGCGCAGCACGCCTCGCCTTGTTTATAGTCCTTTGTTTGGTCTTCCTAGCTTCTTGCTGCAATGTCTGCACTTTGACTGTAATAACTCTATTTAAGTTAATTAAGCATTGATTAAAAAAAAACACTGTAACTACCGTTACACCTTTTTCTCTCTTGTACGTTTACACTGGAACCATGTTCTATTTCTTATTCTTCCTCGCATCCTTCCAACTCCGGATCGGCTAATTGATACGCGCGCATATATTTCCGTGTGACGGGAGTCGGTGTTCCCAAGTGCGGAAAGTTTAGGAGTTTTTATTTTTGAATTTGGAAAGATTAGGAGTTAAGATAGAAAGTTGTTGGAGAGGATTTTTGTTTTAATATTGCCCAAAATTAAGATTGAGAGTGGATTCAAACTCTTGATGATGCTCTTGCTCCGCCGCCGTATGGTTTTAGATTTTTTTTAGGAGAGTTTAAGATGGCTTTAGGGGGTGTTTGATCCAGGGACTAAAGTTTAGTCCGTGTCACATCGGACGTTCGGATGCTAATTAGGAGGACTAAATATGAGCTAATTAAAAAACTAATTACACAGGAGTAGACTAATTTACGAGACAAATCTATTAAGTCTAATTAATCCATCATTAACATATATTTACTGTAGCACCACATTATCAAATCATGGACTAATTAGGCTTAAAAAATTCATCTCGCAAATTAGTCACAATCTGTGTAATTAGTTATTTTTTTAGTCTATATTTAATACTCCATGCATGTGTCCAAATATTCGATGGGACAGGAACTAAAATGTGGTCTAAGAAACCAAACAGCCCCTTAGTGATGGGTCCAGTTTACGGCAGATTGGCTTGGCAGCCTGGCATGAAATGAAACCGGTGGCCAAAACCAGAACCGCGTCCGTTATTTTAGCTTGCCCGCGCCCAGCCCGTGACACCAAGGCCAAGCCAATCTGCCAGTGCCAGTCATCACCCACCTCCGATCCTTCCGTGGGTTTCCCTTTCCTTTGCACAACATGTTGGGTCCACAACGCCACCTTGGTTTAGGCCCAATTGCCTTTGGGACGTGGAGCAACGGTCGGGTCGGGTCGGCACGGGACACGGTTTCTTCTCCTTCTCCGAATCTCCAAGGCGGGCCATACGAGGGAGTGGCACAACCGTGATACAGAGGCAATCCCAGGGCCCAAACGAGCGCTGTCAGCCAGCCAGGCCCCCCCTCCGCGCCGAATTCCCATCTCCTTCTTCCTCCTCCCCCAGGCAAAGGCAGGGAAGGCAAGGCAAAGGAAGGGGTTCCGATCCGATCCGATCCCATGGCGATGGCACCGCCGCCGCAGGAGCCAATCCACCGCCACTAACGTAACCCAAACGACCCGACCCGACCCATGGAAGGAGTAGGAACGTCCGATTACCCCCTCCTCCTCCTACCTTCCTCCGCTCCACCCTCCCCCTCCTCGCCTCCCTCGTCGGCGCCAACCACACCTCCGCCCGCTTCTGCTCCCGCTAGCACCAGCACCGGACCCCTTCCCTTCCCTCCACTTCTCTACTCCCTCACCATGGACCCCTCCTCCCCGCCGCGGCGGTGCTCCCTCCTCCGCCGCCTGCTCATCCTCGCCGTCGCCGCCCTCGCGCTCCGCCTCCTCTACGGCACCTTCCTCGCCGTCTCCACCGGACCCGCCGGCTGGCCGCTCTACCGGCCCGCCGCCACCACCGCCACAACAGCCACGAGGACCCACGTCGTCAAGGCCGACGTCCCGTCGCCGGAGGTCTGGCGCACCCGCCGCTGGCGCAGGGCGGTCGAATACCACGCCGCCGTCATCGCGCCGCACCTCGCCGCCGGGGCCCTCTCGCCGGCATCCCGCGCCGTCTGCCTCGGCGGCGCTCAGGAGGCGCTCGCGATGCGGGAGCTCGGCGTCGCCAAAGCCGTCGCCGTCGCCAGGAAGCGCGCGCCCCCGCTCGTCGTCGCGGGGGACGACCGCCGCCTGCCGTTCGACGCGTCGTCCGTCGACTTCGTCTTCGCGGGGCGCGCCCTCGACGCCGCCAAGCTCCCGGCCGACCTCGCCGCCGAGGCAGCGCGGATCCTGAAGACCGAGGGCCATCTCGTCGTTCTCACGTCCAGCGCCGCCGACGCCTACAGCCTCCGCTCGATACAGGCGCTCCTCCCGTCGCTCCGCCTCGTCCGATCTCGCGAGATCGACGCCACCCAGGACGGCGACTCCTCCACACTCCGGGAACTTGTCTTCCAGAAGAATCCTCATGCCACGGGCACTTCATCAGGGAACAACTGCTCGGTTGGGGATCACAAGCTCCAGCTCCTCGCGCACGCCGAGCCGCTCATCCAGGAAGAGCCACTCAAACCGTGGCTCACGCTCAAGAGAAACATCAAGAACATCAAGTACCTCCCGGCCCTGGCTGATATCAGCTTCAAGCGCCGGTACGTGTATGTCGACGTTGGCGCGCGCAGCTACGGCTCCAGTATCGGCAGCTGGTTCCGCAAGCAGTACCCTAAGCAGAACCACACCTTCCAGGTGTTCGCCATCGAAGCTGACCCGGCGTTCCACTCTGAGTACGCGGCAAAGAAGGGTGTCACGTTGCTTCCTTATGCAGCCTGGGTCAAGAATGAGACACTCAGATTCGAGATCAATGGTGATCCTGGAAAGGAGGACGAGGCCAAGGCCAATGGCCGTGGCATGGGGCGCATCCGCCCCGCCACAGGGAAGAAGATGTCCGGCGAGGTCAGGAGTGTCCCTGCGTTTGACTTTGCCGAGTGGTTGAAGCAGACCGTGACGGAGCAGGACTATGTGGTGATGAAGATGGACGTGGAGGGGACCGAGTTCGATTTGATCCCAAGGCTGTTCGACACGGGCGCAATCTGCTTGGTCGACGAGCTTTTCCTGGAGTGCCATTACAATCGGTGGCAGAAGTGCTGCCCTGGTGAGCGGTCGCCCAAGTATGAGAACACCTACGAGGAGTGCCTGGACCTTTTCAGCTCGCTGCGGGAGAGCGGCGTTCTTGTGCATCAGTGGTGGTAAAGGCTTGATTGGTAATCTCTTCTCTGGTACAGACGTTTGGAAATATCGCAGCACAGATAGAGTTCAAAGACAGATGATGACAAAAGGTTTTGACTAAGTAATTTATTTCCACACTGTATTCATTTTTCCTTGTAAACATGGGCAGTTGAGGAATTGGATTGTTTTACGCTGTTTAGGATGTGTAGTTAATTAAAAAGGATTAAAGGAGTAGGTAAGGTGAAGGGAAGGGAAAGAAATGTACTTAGGGGTAGTTGCATTCCCAGTAAAAATCACTGTGCCTTGCAATTTGCCCCTGTTGAGCAAACAATTGGAATGAATTATCAGTGAATTTATTGACACACAATGATTCAAAGGATCAGTGTGAGCTGTTGACACTTTGATTCCTGCAGTTCGACATGCTACTCTCTATGTGTTGTGTTCACGAGTTTGCTAGCAAATACACTGACATTGTTTAGGAAAAGACAATTTCTTGCTGACTAGTGCATAGTAGTGTTTTCAGATGTTAAGGGCACCCTAGTTTTTCCTGATAAAGTGTAGAAGGCTTGTAAAGTCAAAGCAAATGATACAGAGTTTGTGTGCACTGGAGACTGGAGCATTGTGCAAACCCATGGTCTATGTAGATGTTTTTGCACAAGGTGGAAATGCTTTATTCATATCCATGTGGCCGTGGTTGGATTAAGATGTGTATTTAGTTTGTTGGCTGGATCTTATCCTATGGTGCCGAGAGAGAATTTGACATTCAGGTAATGCCGGTAGCTTATTGCCTGCCTCCTGCTGCCTCTGTGTGAAAAAACTGAAAATTGTTTTTGTCAGAAAGGAACCTTGTGCTGCTATCTGTTAGGCTTTCTGTAAAAAGCGGGGCAAGAGACGGCAGTTTTTTCTCGCACCCTGTTTCTGCCACAAAACAAAACTAATTACAAAGATTAAGACTAATTTAGAAATTGTATGCCCAGCCCAACGGAGGCGTGTACTGGAACTGGAACTGGAATGTCTGGCCTTTTCTGTCGTTCCTTTGGATGCCCTGCCCGCACGGCATGCCTTGCCAAAAACGATGATGTTTTTTTTTTTTGATAAGAAAAGAAAAACGATGATGATTGATGAATACGCTTCCGACTTGGACAGGACTTCTTCCAGGATCAGGAAGAGGATTATGCTTCGCTTTGGCCATGAATGGTGAATGCCTTGCCTTGCCCTTGAGGTTATGCATGGTGGCAGACAGCATCCACCAAGCTCCAAGCACTTTTTCTTTTGGGGTTTCACTGCTCGCTGGGGCCCGCGATGATAAAAAAAAAGGAAAGACGATGGAGTTAAGGCGATGCCATTTGTTGGCTGGACACCTGGAGGAAGGAAAGACTGCACTGTGGACTCCACTCCACTTCCTCGCTTCCTTCCTTCCTTCCGCCCCCAACCCGGTCCACCTTCTTCACTGTTCAACGACCTGGTATACTCCGCCGGCCGCCGCACTGCCACTGCGCATCCACACCTACAGTGCAATCGATTCTCTTCCTTCAAAACTCCCTTCTGCTGGTAACTGGTAAGGTAGCTCTGCTTTTCTTGGATGGGTTGGTTATCTTCATCTCTCTCAGAAGTCAGAACTGGGGCTGGGGTTTTCTTTAGTCGTTGCCGCCGTGAGTCACCGGTAACCAAAGCCGAATCTTTGTTCCTTTTCTGTTCAGTTAGCAGAGCATTGGTTTAGAGCAATAACCATTAACAAGCTGCGGAAAAAAACAACTTCTGTCGATAGAAATACCTACGAGTCAAAGCTGGACTACTTTTCTAGCTACAGTCCCTTTTCTACTTCTGTTCTGTCCAATGAGCAGAGCATGCATTCTTTCTGTAAGCAGATACATGGATACAACAATCCTTGTGCGATTTCTTTTCGCCACAGTTTTCTACTGAACCACGTTCTTGATTTTTACCATACTCTAATAATAATAATGCCTAACCTTGAACTAGGATATCTTGTGCTTTCAGAGTCTAAATAAGGCAGAATAAGTCAGTACCCAACAAAGATCCTCTCGCATAACTCTAAACAGTACATTTGCTTATGGGCTGTTAGTGCGTCTCACTCACGGTGTCAGTGTTACCCAGATCTTTATCTCTAAAAAAAGAAAGGAGTTTGTTTCAACACATGTGTACTACCATCAGTAAACAAGATGCATTCCCTGGGGACATGCTTCGCTACTGTCTAAGCATTCCATTTTGGTAGTGAACTTTTGTCTATGTTCTATTTAGCAGGCACTTGAGTTTGTGATCATGTGCTTCAAGTAATATTGCTGACAACATGGTCAAGGGATCCACAGGCCACCACAACAACCCCATCAGTTCAGTCCGTAAGTATTAGTTTCAGCAGCTGCATTTCTTGTGCCAGCGATTGTTACAGGACAAAAACTTAGAATCTATCCGTTGCTTGCAGCGTTCGAGGCGTTTCATAACGGATCATGGCATGGAGTGAATTCTGTAAGGATACGGGATGGTGCTTTGCTTGTAAAATTTGTCTCCTCTGGATCCACAGTCCAGCATGATATTGATGGGTCCTATCTGCGCATACGTTCTAGAAAGGCAACTTGCTCTGATTGCTCACATGTTCTCAAGCCAGGCGCTGATGTCTGTGTCTGGCAAGCGACTTACAGAGGAGAAACAAAAGATTCTGTATGCCACTTGACTACTTTATTTCAAGTCCACTTCCTTACATCTTCCAAAACTTTGCTATCCTTACTTCAATCGGCTTGTTCGCTGGTTGGTTTCTGGGCTGATAAGCCCTGCTGGTGCTGGTTTGTTGTGAGAGGAAAACACTGTTGGCTGGCTGATAAGCCTTGGCTGAAACCAACAAGCGAACATGCTGAATATGGAGAACGAATCTACCATTTTTGGTGTATCCATGTCATTTGATAGTATCATCTCACATCCGCTCTGTTCTCTTATACGCGCAGGTACCATTGTGCCGTGATGCAAGGCTCATCAAAATCAAGAGAAATCATCAATTGGATCGGTGCCTCTGCTTGTTTGCCGTTATTTTCTATAAAGACCAGTGCCCGGGCAGCAAAGAAAAAGTGATATCCGGTACAATAGCTGACGTAGTGACGATAGACGATATTTGCATCTTGCAAAATCTCCAATCTGAGGAGCTCCAGGACGGAAGCGTGCAATGGAATTCTGCAGTGGACTGCTTCCACCATAATAGAAGCAAGCTGCTAAGTGCTAGATTCTCCCTAGAAGTCGCATACCTGATAGTTTTGTCTAGCCTGAGGGGAATGGAATTCAACATCAAGCTGGTCAACGGCAATATCATTTATCAGATCATCAAAGGAGACCAAGCACGGTATAGTATTGATTCCATGAGCATACCTCCAGGTTTTGGGAAGAACATGGACATAATATCATTCAAACCACGTGATGAGGCTTTTCGCCCAATTATCAGAACAGTTCCAATCACTCAGGTTAAAGAAGACAATCTCACAGAAGATGGGTGTATCGCTGTGAAGGGCGAATCTGATAGTGCACAAGATGTTGAAGTTTTGTATGCGCATGTGGACATAAGACGCTCAAAGCGTATGAAAACTCAACCAGACCGCTTTACTAGTTATGATACGCCTAATTTCAATCGGACCTACAACAAGAAAGAAGCAGATGGACCATCTACTAAGAATGAAAATTCAGAGAGCGACTTGAGTTGTGATTCATCAGAGCAGAGAGAATCAAGTGATGAAGAGGTCTTAGGAAATCCTGGGGTGAACAAAAAAGTTTCTGGGTCTTTCGTGGTCAAGGAAGACCCAAGGTCTATGAAAGGACAACAGAAGTACCCAGTGAAAAGAAATCAGTGCTTTTTGCCTATAAAAGAAAAGCAAATCTCCATGGAAACAAAGAAGAACACAACAGATCAAGGGTGTTCAGATTCTCACATTCCACATACGCCTGCAAAGAATATAGAGAAGTGCAATCGTCCGACATTTCGACTAAAGTCATTTGCTTCGTCTCAAAGCCTAGATGGCAATAGAGAACCAGCATTCTGCCAAAAGAGGGGTAGGAAAAGAAAGAAACACATGTGCCAAAGAGAGTACAAACGAATGATAGACCAATGCATTGGAAATATCCAGTGTGAAGTGGAGAGGGATTCTGACTTTAAGGTTGATGCCCAGATATTGAATGGCTGTGGACATGCTTACCAAGAAGAGGATTTTACATGGCCGATTTCCGCTGATAGTCAAGAGGAGAAGGATGAGCTTGAAGAGTTGTGGAAAGAAATGGACTATGCACTGGCCACAGTAGCAATTCATGAGCAAAAGCAGGTGAGTGAAGCATGATTTTTCTTTTGTAGTTGCTGTGGAGGGAGCTTAACTTTGGGAACACGCAAACAGTTGCTTTCCTCTTTTTTCTATGAACATACTTGTTCTACCTAGCATTATTTAAGATACAAACATATTTGTTTTTGTTGTCATAGTTAATAAAATGTTTGGACTTCCAGATGACAGATTCAGAAGCCAGTCATGAGAGCAATACTGATTTAGGAAAAAGAGGAGAACACTGTCATCATGACTGCATGCTGGACGAACAGCTTGGTCTGACCTGCAGGCTGTGCAATGTTGTATGCACTGAGGCAAAGGATATCTTTCCACCGATGGTAGCTTTAAACAGCAATCAAATTAGCAATTTTTTCCTTTATTTTACTTGGGACCCCATTATTGACTGTATGCATATTACATTTTTGCGCAGTTCACTGGTAAGGACCACGAGAGGCCTGAATGGAGCCATTTTGGTCAGGATGATCATGTACTTGACCTTTCTTTTTTTGAGATTTGTGCTCCAGAATCCTCCAAAATTAAGGAATCTGGGAATGTGTGGGCTTCAATCACTGATCTTGAACCAAAGCTACTTGCTCATCAAAGAAAAGCCTTCGAATTTATATGGAAAAACTTGGCAGGATCATTACAGTTTGAAGAAATGGATGATTCAACAAGTAAAGGTGGTTGTGTGGTTGCACATACTCCAGGAGCGGGTAAAACTCTGTTGCTGATTTCATTTCTTGTCAGTTACTTGAAAGTTCACCCAAGAAGCCGACCATTGGTCCTTACTCCAAAAGCTGCAATCCATACATGGAGGAGAGAGTTTCAGAAATGGGGCATTTTGCTTCCGTTACATGTGCTTCACCACTCTAATAGAACAAGCAAACTGATGGGAGGTCTCAGTTCGAAACTGCAGGCGGTTTTAAAGAATTTTCACCGACCATCGTGGAAAACAATGCGCATCATGGATTGTCTGGACAAATTATGCAAGTGGCATGAGGAACCAAGCATTCTTCTCATGACGTATTCTTCTTTCTTATCGCTTGCGAAAGAAGACTCAAAACTGCATCACCAGGCTTTCATAACGAAAGTTTTGATGAACAACCCTGGGCTATTGATTCTTGATGAAGGGCACAACCCAAGAAGCAACAAATCAAAGGTGAGAAAGCTGCTGATGAAGGTGAAGACTGAATTCAGAATACTCTTGTCTGGTACAGTCTTTCAGAACAACTTCGAAGAGTATTTCAACACCTTATCTTTGGCCAGACCTCGTTTTGTCAACGATGTTATGACCGCGCTAGTTCCAGAATCAGAAAAGAAAACACGGAACAGAACTGGCAAACATCAAGAAGCACTGGCAAGGCGTATTTTTGTGGAAAGAGTGGGGCAGAAGATCGAGTCTAGCAGCAAACATGACAGAATGGATGGCATCTCCTTGTTAAATGATCTTACTCATGGATTCATTGATTCATTTGAAGGGACAAAACTGAACATTCTTCCAGGTATACGTGTGTATACCCTTTTCATGAAACCCACTGACGTCCAGGAAGAGGTCCTGGCGAAACTGCCAATGCCCTTGTCAGGCAATGTGCGTTACTGTCTCGAGATTGAGCTGCTCATCACAATTGCTTCTATCCATCCTTGGCTTATAAACACAACCAGGTGTGCTAGCACTTACTTCACGCCAGCAGAAGTAGCTAGAGTTGAGAAGTACAAGTGGAACTTTGCTGTTGGTTGCAAGGCAAAGTTTGTGATTGATCTTTTGCACAAGTCCTCATTCAGAGGGGAGAGGGTTCTGATATTTTGCCACAATGTGGCCCCAATAACCTTTCTTGTCAAGCTGATAGAGATAGTCTTTGGATGGCGTCTTGGGCAGGAAATCCTGGTGCTGCAAGGAGATCAAGAACTGCCTGTGCGGTCAGATGTCATGGATAAATTCAACAGTGACAGAGAAGGGAAGAGGAAGGTGCTGATTGCTTCGACAACAGCCTGTGCCGAGGGTATCAGTTTGACCGGTGCATCAAGATTGGTGATGCTGGATTCGGAGTGGAACCATTCGAAGACCAGGCAGGCAATCGCAAGGGCATTCCGACCTGGCCAGGAGAGAATGGTGTTTGTCTACCTTCTTGTGGCGTCTGGGACATGGGAGGAAGATAAATACAACAGTAACAGGAGGAAAGCTTGGATCGCGAAAATGGTCTTCTTTGGGCGTTATTTCGATGACCCATTGCAAAATCGTGTGACTGAAATCGATGATGAGGTTCTGAAGGAGCTTGCTGATGAAGATGAGACCAATACTTTCCATATGATAGTGAAGCAGGACTGAAAAAGAAATGGTAGAATATTATTCAGAATGTCTGTTCCTCTGTCCTGGAGTACATGGTTACTAGTATGTGTCCTATATTATCGTCCCTCCCATGCTTTGCATTTGCTATGCTATGGAAAGACCACCTTTGTAATTGTAGTCTGGTGGTTTCAGCTGGGAAAAAAAATATAGGGATCTCTTTCGTTAAGACTTTGAAAAACCTTGAGATCTCCTCATGCTTTTGTACTGTATTAGTCCTAACAAAGATGTACTTGCCTGCTACTAGACTTGCATTATTACTACTTGATTATCAGCTATCTATGTCTTGATTTCTAGATTATTTTCTCATACTCCGCCCTGTTCGCTTGAACCTATTTAGAACTGTTTTTTAGCCATGGAACATTGTTTTTCTCTCACAACATTTAGCATAAACATCAGAATAAGTCAAATTTCAGCATAAGCGAACAGGCTGTTGTTGTCTTAATTTTCTTCATCTTCAGGAAATTAAAACCAATACGCAAGATGCTATGTAAAACACGTACTGTACCTGCCCGATGGAATGTCCAAATCACCATGGATAAAATAAGACAAAAATGAAATGAAATGTGCAGACACTAGACAGATCACCATGAGTATGAATAAACAAAAACAAGAAGAAGAAAATTGTTTTTTTATCGGTACAACTGGAGGCACATAATCCACATACTCCACAACGCGCGCGCATGCGTGTGCAGCTGTACACATGCAAATACGAGATTGGGAGACTCTCTTGCCTCCGGTGCACATATGCAAAAAAGATATTGACAGACACTCTAGCCTCCAGTGCATCGGAAACACTCAGTACCACTGAACCACTTGACCAAAGGCCCTTTTGCAAGAAGAAAATTGTTGGAATGTCCAAACACTAATCAGAATCACCGTGACTGATTGAAATAAAATAAAAAAATGCACAAGCCAGGAATCGAACCTGGGTCTGTACCGTGGCAGGGCACTAGATGATCTCTGTTGTTACATGCTTTGCTTCTATAGGTCATGTACTTCTCTACAAAACTAAGACTCTGTTTGGATCAATTTCAGATTCTTAAAAAACAATTTTTGCCTCTAGTTTCTAGAATCTAGATTCTGATAAAAAACTGGCGGGGTGTTTGGATCCCCAGTTTTTAAGAATCTAACTTCATTTATTGCTCTATGTTTCACAAGAAACTGGTAAAAGCTGGGTATCAACAGCTTCCTGGTTCTTAAGAATCTAGCAAAACTAGCAGAAAAACTAATCTATTTATATCCCACCTAGTTTCCAAAAGTCAAATTCTTCAAAACTGACAAGAACTGGAGAGGATCCAATAAGTTTGGAGAAGGCTTATGAATTTGACGACTATTGTCACAACCACCAGCCTCCAATCTCTTTTATCAAAGCCGAAGTCTGTGGCCTTTTCGGTAGTGTCTTCTGTGATTTTGGACCTGAGTTTACTGTCATTGATGTTGATGGTGAAGATCCACATACTGGTATAATTGCATCCATCAGCAATGACAGTCCTGCAATGGTATCCTGTGTTGATGATGAGAGGCTTGAGTTTCAGGATGGTGATCTTGTTGTTTTCTCTGAGGTCCAAGGCATGGCAGAATTGAATGATGGAAAACCAAGGAAGGTAAAAAATGCTAGGCCGTTTTCATTTAGCATTGAGGAGGACACAAGTAGCTATGATGTTTATACAAAAAGGTGGTATCGTTACACAAGTAAAGGAACCAAAGGTTCTACGCTTCAAGGCACTAAGAGATGCAATGAGAGATCCTGGCGATTTCCTTCTAAGCGACTTTTCAAAGTTTGAACGATCACCTGTGCTTCATCTAGCCTTTCAAGCTCTGGATAAATTTAAGAAGGAACATGGACGCTATCCTACCACTGGCTGTGAGCAGGATGCTCAAACTTTCCTGAAGTTTGCTGCCGATATTAATGAAGCTTCTGTTGGTCCTAAGCTGGAAAACATTGATGAAAAGTTGCTCCGTCATTTTGCAAGTGGTTCTCGAGCTGTTTTGAACCCAATGGCCGCAATGTTTGGTGGTATTGTTGGTCAAGAAGTTGTGAAGGCATGTTCAGGGAAATTCCATCCGCTTTACCAGGTTTGGGTTTTGAATAATGTACCTTCTTTGTTTATATTGCCATCCCTTATCCTTGTCTGATGAATCTCCACCTTATGCAGTTCTTCTACTTTGATTCTTCTACTTTGATTCTGTTGAATCTCTCCCTACATATCAGTTGGATCCCCAAGGTTTGAAGCCTTCAAATAGCCGCTATGATGCTCAGATCTCTGTATTTGGTTCCAAGCTTCAGAAGAAGATGCTAGATGCAAATATTTTCATTGTGGGTTCTGGCGCTCTTGGATGTGAGTTCTTGAAGAACCTTGCCTTAATGGGTGTCTCTTGCAGCTCCAAGGGAAAGCTAACTATAACAGATGACGATGTCATTGAGAAAAGCAATCTGAGTCGCCAATTTCTGTTCCGTGACTGGAACACTGGGCAAGCAAAGTCTACTGTAGCTGCAGCCGCCGCCATTGACATCAACCCCAGCCTCCAAATTGACGCTCTTCAGAACCGTGCCTCTCCTGATACCGAAAATGTGTTCCATGACACATTCTGGGATGGACTGGATATTGTCATCAATGCCCTTGATAATGTTAATGCTAGGATGTATATGGACATGAGGTGCCTGTAGTTTCAGAAGCCACTACTGGAGTCAGGGACATTGGGCGCAAAGTGCAATACACAAATGGTCATTCCTCACCTTACTGAAAATTATGGAGCTTCAAGAGACCCACCTGAGAAGCAGGCACCCATGTGCACAGTCCATTCTTTTCCACACAATATTGATCATTGCTTGACATGGGCCCGTTCAGAGTTCGAGGGTTTGCTAGAGAAAACACCAAATGAAGTAAATTCTTTTCTGTCTAATCCTGCTCAATATGCTGCTGCCATGAGGAAGGCAGGTGATGCCCAAGCAAGGGAATTACTTGAACGCGTCTCTGAATGTCTTGACAAGGAGCGATGCAATACATTTGAGGACAGCATAACTTGGGCCCGATTGAGGTATGTTCATGCTTTCTATTGTCACATTTCTTCAATTCTTCTGTATATGATATATGTTACTATTTTCTTCACTTCTGTGGGATTCCACATCTTCCTCTTACCCACCTTATGATAAATGAAGTATCAGTTTTATGACATTGTAGTGCTAATTTAACCAACATCTGTTCAAGTTGATTCCCTTTGTAGCTGAGGACTTTAAATTTAAGAAGTGTTGTACTTTGACCAGACAAATTTAATTTCTTTATCTTGGACATGCATCTGTGTTCCTTCAGTTTTTGTGCAAGATTAACCGATTTCATTTTGTTTCATGTCAGATTTGAGGATTATTTCTCAAACCGCGTGAAGCAGCTTACATTCACTTTTCCTGAAGATGCTGCTACTAGCACAGGCACTCCTTTCTGGTCCGCCCCAAAGCGCTTTCCCCGCCCTCTGCAATTTTCAGCCACTGATTCATCTCACATCAACTTCATCATGGCTGCTTCAATACTGAGAGCAGAGTCATTTGGGATTGCTATACCTGACTGGGCAAAGAACACAAGTAAGCTGGCTGATGCGGTCAATAAGGTTGCAGTTCCTAAATTTGAGCCAAAGAAATGGATGAATATTGTGACAGATGAGAAGGCTACTAACCTTTCTAGTGCCTCAGTTGATGATGTTGCTGTTATTAATGATCTTTTGACCAAGTTGGAAGAATATGCCAAGGGCTTGCCTCCAGGATTCCAAATGAAACCTATCCAATTTGAGAAGGTTAGTATTTCAACTACATATTCATTCAAATCTAAGGTTTAAGAAGTTCTTTGAGATGGTTCCCCAACTATTAATATGTTTCCTATGGTAATTTCTGTTGGTCTTTTGTAATAATAAATATAAATATTTCTTTCGTCTCAGTCCAAGACTCCCAGGAGATGCTACGGGCTTATGCTGGGAATCTGGTCGTTTCTGTTGGTCTTTTATAATAATAAATATAGATATTTCTTTCGTCTCAGTCCAAGATTCACATGAGATGCACGGCTTATGCTGGGAATTCTGGTTCCTGAAAGTTCAAGTGATATCTACCTAATATTTCTTCCCATTGATCAGCACCATAAGTATTTAGGTCTTTATAATGATAAATTTGGTCCTTCTGTGTATAGTCAGTTTTCTTTCTGATGTTAATATCTACTTAATACTTCTTCTCTATTCATAATTAAGTAGTTAGTACAATCTCACTGCTTTTTTTTTTAGAACAGGACCCATTGTTGCAAATCATGATTTCATTTGTCTCATTGGTGGTTGGCTGTCCTGTAGTATGACATGCTCGCTTTACTTCCTTTATGACACATTAGGATTTTGTTTCTTCCAATCAGATGGATATTTAAACACGAATGTTGCAAACTATCGCATGAAATAGCTGGTCTAACATTCACTTTGCTCTTCCAGGATGATGACACTAATTTTCACATGGATTTAATAGCTGGGCTTGCAAACATGCGCGCAAGGAACTACAGCATTCCTGAGGTTGACAAGTTGAAGGCTAAGTTCATCGCTGGAAGGATCATCCCGGCCATCGCAACTTCGACAGCCATGGCCACAGGTCTCGTGTGCCTGGAGCTATACAAGGTCATTGCTGGGGAGCACCCCATCGAGGATTACCGCAACACATTTGCCAACCTAGCTCTACCGCTGTTCTCAATGGCTGAACCAGTTCCGGCGAAGGTTATAAAGCATCAAGACCTGAGCTGGACCATATGGGACCGCTGGACTGTCAAGGGCAACTTGACTATCGCTGAACTCCTGCAGTGGTTCAGTGACAAGGGCCTCAGCGCTTACAGCATGTCCTGCGGCACTTCTCTGCTGTACAACAGCATGTTCGCGAGGCACAAGGAGAGGCTGCAGAAGAAGGTTGTAAGGTGGAGGTTCCTGAATACCGGAAGCACATAGATGTCGTGGTAGCATGCGAGGATGATGATGGGAATGACATTGACATTTCTCTCGTCTCGGTTTACTTCCGCTAGTCTGCATCTGAGGCCAGGCTGTAGGAAGATTACTGCATTCAAAAACTCGTCTCTAGCCTGCTCTTGTGGTGTCGTAAACACAGCCTAGATACTAATCACCGTCACAGGTGTAGAATGGTTGGTTGCCACTTTGGCGATGGTAGCTCGGCTCTATCCTGGTATCTGATTAAGTTACTCTATTTAGATGATGTGCTGCTCATCTAATTTGGTTGGTGTGATTATTAAGGTACACACACTGGTTAAAGTTAATCGACACTTGAATTTGTTTTGTTTCTTTTGTCTGCTTTATTACTATTTGTCGATTCGATTTAAAAAACTGTGGCTGATGCTGACGTTTGCAACTGGGAAATTGTTAGTGTGTCTGATACTGGCATAACACTGTGTTGTTGTGTGGAGATAGTCTGGATAACGCAAAGGTTGTTTCTTTCTTTTTCTAGCTTGTTGTTTTATATAAAAAAAACTAAGGTGGTTCTGTTGCTACATGCTTGGCTGGAAGCCTGGAAATGGAAACGCTGCTCCTTTCATTTACAGTAAGCAGGTTGGTACTGCCTTTCAAAAACAACGAAAAAAAACTGCCTTTCAAAAACTAAGCTGGTTGGTAGATTTGTATAACTAGTACATGCTTGGCTGGAAGGCAGGAAATGGAAACGCTGCTCCTCTCGTTTAGGCCTTGCTTAGTTCCGCTCCAAAAGTTTACACCCTATCTCATTAAATATTTAAACATATATATGGAGTATTAAATATAGATTAAAAAATAACTAATTGTATAGTTTGTAACTAATTTATGAGACGAATCTTTTAAGCCTAATCAGTCTATGATTTGACAATATGGTGCTACCGTAACACATGTGCTAATGATGGATTAATTAGGCTTAATAAATTCGTCTCGTAGTTTACCGACGGATTCTGTAATTTATTTTTTTATTAGTATCCAAATACCATATGTGACACCCCATGTGATATCCGATGTGACACCTCCAAACTTTACACCCTGGATTTTAAGGCCTTACAATATAAGCAGGTTGGTAAAAGCCGGCTTATCAGTAATGGTATAATATTTTTCTCTTCCAATAAATTTGTCGGGTATCGATATTAGGGATACCTAAAGCAAGGAAGTTAGCGTCCACGCTGACTTTCCCGGATAGCTCGAGACGTATTAAAAGCGTCTCGCCCGATCCCTTGGGGGCGGGTTCCGTCTCGTCCAACGAAGACCCATACCGCCGCCAACCACTCTAGTTACAAGCGTATGGGCCTGAGTCAAAACTCTGACGTCAGGAAAGAGACTGGCACGCCTCGATGTAACCCGTGGCCATGACAGGACATACCGGGATTCACATCAAGAACAGTGTCGACGTGCCGGTGTTGTTCTGCCTAATCCTCGTACGAATGCTAACAGACACGTCACTTCACCACGACGTCCGCCAGGACGGAGTGGAACGCCATGATCGGCAGATGACGCCGCGCATGACGCTAGTGACGAACAGGGCCGCGACATGGAGCCGTCCCTGTTGACATCCACAAGATCAGCGGGACCCGCACGAAGGAGAAGAAGGACCCGACAACCCTGGAAGCCTTCTTCTCTCTCGTTCTTCTAGCGCTTTCTCTTCGTCAATAAAAAGGAAAGCAGTGCGCCTCATGGAAGGGGTGAAAAACACGAAGTCGGAACACAAGAGTACGACACGAGCACACGGTTGAGCGGCAAGCGAGCTCTCAGCACCTGTTCACTTCTTCCACCAGAGACTTGGGATCCTCTCTCTCTAGCATGTTTGTAACCCCTACTGCAAACTAAGTGCCAGTAATATGAGCAGCAGCAAACTGGACGTAGGGACGTTCCACCCGAATCAGAATAAACCCCTGTGTCCTCCGAGCACACCATCCGGACCAGACGCGCAAATACAAATTTACTCGTCGGTGGTCCGAAAACACCGACAAAATCAACCGTACAAATCAGCACAAACAACTTATAGACCTACCGAACACGACATGTGCAGCAGAATCTTCACTTGTAACTTACTGTATCTCACTGCACTGGTGCTGCAGCGTCTACTAGCAGCCTGTTTAGTTGGCTGGTTCGTGAAAAAATACTGTTGGCTGATTTATGTGAGAGAAAAATACTATTCAACTAAAAATTTATGATCATTTACAACTAGTCATAGCCAAATGAACATGCTGTAGATAGCTAGCGCTACTCGTAGGAGGACGACAACTCCGATCCCGACCTGCTCTCCTAAGAAAAAACTATCGCTAGAAATGAAGCAACTGGTGCTTTCCTGGTTGGATAAAAAATCGTCCCGTCGCACGTCTTCCATATAGTTTTGTTACTGCAACTTGCACGTTCAAGCGTAGTATTCATCAACTCAAGCGTAGTATTCATCAACTTGGGATTCTACTTTTACCATTCCTTATCCTAATCCAAAACTTTTCAGTCCCAAAATAATTATATATCATCCTGCCTTTTAAGAAGCTTAGCTAACTTTAAGAAAATAATATCAATATTTACATCTCTAAATAAGTTCATGCTTGATATACTGATGATACTTATTACGCACCGCAATTATCAATACATTTTGTTATATATATTTATCAAATTTAAAAAAGTTTAACACCTTTAAATGTGTAGTTATTTTAGGATGAATATAGTACTCCATCAATTACTCCAGATATTGTTTACAACCGCCTTTCTCTAGCAGTGAATTTTTGCCGGGTTTTACAGATATATACCTGCACCAAGACTTTGGTGGAGTCTGCAAATGACTAGCTATAATAATTAGTAAAAAAGGGCACAGATTTAGTGAAATTTCAATTTGGAAGACTAGTCGATTGAGACATCGCTCATTTATTAGTTCCACCCTAGAAATTTTTAGTTAACTTGGGGTGGGTCCATTACATTGCATTACCGACATACTCCGTACTACTACTTAGGCTATCTCCAACAACAACATCTAAAATACAGGACACATTCGTCTTTTGAGTAGCGCTATAGATAAAAATTTCAATACATATTCAGCATCTTCTCCAACAACCAGATCCAAAAGAGAATCATTTCTGTAAATGGGTTTCCAGGAGAGAGGATGTCCATATTTGGGTTGTATCTTTCAGGCAACCTAAAATAGGTAGGTACTCTGTTAGAGTTGATTTTGAGTCTCTTACTACCCATTTTAAGTTTGGATGCACATATAGGTTTCTCGTTGGAGACAGGTAAGGCCATGTTTAGATGCCAAAATTTTTTGGTTTTAGGTACTGTAGCCCGTTTGTTTATATTTGGCAATTAGTGTCTAATTATGAACTAATTAGGTTCGAAAGTTTCGTCTCGCAATTTCTCACCCAACTGTGCAATTAGTTTTTTTCGTCTACATTTAGTACTCTATACATGTGCCGCAAGATTCGATGAGATGCGCAATGTGCAAAATTTTTTAAATCTAAACAGGCCCGATGCAATGGATGAATGGAGAATACGGTTGCTAGTCATGGTCAACGGTTGAGGCGTCTAGCGTTCTAAATTTATTGCTCCGCCATATCGCTTTCGTTTCATTTCATGAGAAGCAAAACAACAATAATCTTCTTTTGGGTCTTAATTACTACTCTTTTCGTGTGAAAAAGAATGTAACTACGAAATTTGTACAAGTTAAAGTAGCTTAACTTTGATCAAATTTATATTGAAGAATATTAACATTTATATCTCCAGCTAGGTTTACTCGAAAATATATTTTATAATTAATTGAATAGTATTTATTTTATATAAAAGTATTAGTATTTTTTATATAACTTTGATCGAGCTTTAGATCTTTTGCTTTCTAGGAAAACGAGAATTACGTCCTTCTCTAAACAGGGGAGTACACCGTCCAGCATGTACCATCCCCGAATTTGTGCATCATATTATTTATCATTAACTAAACAATCTTAGTACCTTTTATTAAGCCCATCATTTTGTGTCACACTACATAAGAATTAGAAGAAGATAGGACGGAGGGCCTCGGTGCAAATATCTTCCTTTGGGCCACCAGATCCACACAGCACACACAAAGAAGGAAATGATCAAGAAAATGAATGTAAGAAAGAACAAGAGAGAAAATACTACTAGAAACAAAGAAAAATGCGATAGCTGCCAAGCTGTGCGGTCGCTTTCTTCTTCCTTCGTTTGGCCGCGTCCAAGCTGCTGCCTTTTTGTTCCCTTCCCTGTCCTCAAAAAATAAAAATAAAAATTGCTGCCTTTTCAAGTTTTTGTTTTTTCCCCTTTACTCAAGTTATTTCTATACCTAAATTCTCCTATGAAACTAGAACCAGTTGGTAAAATTACTGGACTATCGATCCAGATCCTCATATAGCGAACTGAAAGGGTGAGAAATGCCTATCTATGTGCTTTTGTCCCTAGTTTTACAAATTAATGTTTAAGTTGCAATTTAATTGATACTAAAATAATTCTAACATAATACAAAAATATCATTAATGTTTCTTTTTTAATATAGGAAACCATTGAAAGGTTCAAACTTTCGAATGTTTAGATTTAGATCTAACTTTATGAATATTTCATTCGCCGATAAGTTTTTGTAATTGATAATCTCTCTGTTTGAAAGATGCAACTATAGCATTGCACAAAAAAAAACTAGTTTTAATTTAATCAAATTTGTGAAAAAATATTACTTATGACACCAAGTAAGTGTCAATGAAATTCATCTTGAAATATTTCTCATGATATATTTATTTGGTATCACAAACATTTATAATTTAAACTCGATCAAATTTTGGATATTTTGACTAAGGATAAATCTAAACTATAGTTATTATATGATGAAAGGTATAGTTAGGTCACTTTTGTTTTATATATTATTAATGTAGAATTACTGTTGAAAGAGATGGATAAGGAGCGCCTAATGATGATCAAGGACAACGTTATGGAGTGGATGACGACTTTCAAGCCTAGTGTAGTTACCGCTTCAGACATTTATGAGATTTATTAGTGCTGTAACAGGTCTAATGTTTTGTGGTTTACTCCCTTCGTCCCTAAAAAAGAGTAGCTATGGGGATTATATTGGTCAAACTTTCTCAACTTTGACTATATTTATAGAAAATACGTGCAACATTTATATCTCCAAATAAATTTATTATAAAAGTATATTCGATGATTTATCTAATGATACTAATTATATACCATAAATATTAATATTTTATTAAATATATTTGGTCAAAGTTAAAAGTTGTTGATTTTTTGAAATGTAAGAATGACTCTTTTCTAGGGATAGAGAGAGAGTACATTTCAAACTGATAACCCAAGTTATGTACCGGTGACGTTGCTTTCTTAAAAAAGAGGTAATTCTTTTTTTTAAATGGGACCCTAACTTTTTAAAACAAATTAGAAGGGTTTTTATACTAGCTAAAAACGAAACACAAAATAGAAATGACATTTAGGCCTGGTTTATTTCCCCTTCTAAACTTTAGCCTCTGTCATATTGGATATTTGGACACATGCATAGAGTATTAAATATAGACTAATTACAAAACTAAATACACAGATTGAGACTAATTTGCGAGATGAATTTTTTAAGCCTAATTAGTTCATGATTTGACAATGTAGTGCTAATCATATGTTAATGACGGATTAATCAGATTTAATAAATTCGTCTCGCGGGTTACCGAGGACTTGCATAATTTGCTGATGTGACACCCCTATGTGACAGTCGATGTGATATCCCTAAACTTTCCCTCTCGATTTAAGCACCCCTTATTTTCTTTTCAAGAAAATACGTTTGTGTGTGTAAGTATATATCTTACTGGTAAAAAGCTAAATTATGCCTACTCCGTTTGAGGTCCGTCCATGAGGACATTCTCGCTGGCTTTTGTGGTAGCAAGAACAAAATTAAGGAGGCGGGCTAGGCTAGCATTCACGCGTTTGACTTCCTACCGGTCAGTCAGATCGCCGCAGATCTCATCATTCGCCACCAAAGCAATTTGCTTTGCTTCCCCTTTCCCATGCCATTGCCCTGTCCCTTCCTCCTCTTCTTGCTCCTCCCTTACCTGTCGCCGTTGCCAGATGGAGCCGCCTTTGCTGCTCAGGATTCTCCTGCCGCTGGCTTCTCTTTCTTGGCTGCTGCTGCTGCTGCTCGCCCGCGGTAGTGCAGGTCGGTGCCGTCAGATTTTGGTTTCCCCTTTGTTACTAGCCTGCTTTGTTTTTGTTTTGTTTTGTTCTACTGATGCTGACTGTCCTCCTGGATTGGATTGGTTTGGGCTGTGCAGCGACTGGAGTTCTAGGAGGAATCGGTGCCGACGAGGACGAGTGGAGCAGGCAGCCTGCTGCTGCTGCTCATCTCATTCTTGGGTGAGTGAGTGGTTGGTGACGATTGCTTTTCTTTTTGTTCTTCTTGTTCTTCGCAGAAACAATATGCTTTCTATTTCTAGCAGCTTGGACATTCAGAATTTGATTTGGACAACTAGTAGACATGGAATTGAAAGAGTATATATGCATGTTTACCTGCTGATTGTTGCGATAGCTACAGCGTATTGGCATGAACTATTTGGATGCTACTGCGCTAGAGCTTAAGAGCTGATTAAATGCCAGATTATCAATCGACGGGTTGGGTTGGTGAGGCACACATGAGGGGTATACTTTGATTTCCTTGCTAGTTGCTAATCGAAGAAGCATCATAACAGTAGTATCAGCAAATTTGCTACTTTCTCGAGAATTTCCCTACAAAGCAGTGTGAATTCATCATGTGCTGGAGTTTGGCACACCGTTTATATGGTGATATAGAGTATCATCTATTGCGTACAATAGATTAGACTAGCATTGGCAATATACGGTTATGAAGTTACATCTCTGCGGGGTTTTTTCGACTCCATTTCACCAAATGCTGTTTTGCATTCTTCTCTTGACTTTTGTTTTCAAGCAATTATTTTGTACCAGAAACTCCAGAAATGTGCAAGCTAGAAGATTGCTGCAGAGTGGTAAAAACGAGCATACCCAACCACCTAGACACGCTCCTCCTCCTAATCAGAAGAAGCCAAAGACAATTGAACGCCCGCACAGACCAAAACATCATCAACATAAAATGCATGCTCCATCACCCTCACCTTTTAGTTCTGCGCCTAAAGCCTTGCCATCACCATCTACTTCTGCACCTGCAATATCTTCTTCAGGATCTCATCATCCATTGGCAGCCCCTCCCCGACCGCTTAGCCCTTCACCTTCCATCTCTCCACCACATAAACATTCCTCAAGAAAGTATAGTTTGGTCGCTACAGGGAGTGCAGTCTTTGTTGTCATGGCTGCAGCTTCTGTCATGTACTGTCGAGTTAAGAAGGTGGGCACTGTGAGGCCATGGGCCACAGGGTTAAGCGGGCAACTGCAACGAGCATTTGTAACAGGTAGTTTCTTTCTGTTTTTTGTGCATTCCTTATGCTTTTCTATTTCAGTTTGAACTTTGAATTTTGAACTTACAGCATGGCACGATACTCTCATGTTCCAGGTGTACCTGCGTTGAAACGATCCGAGCTGGAAGCAGCCTGTGAGGACTTTAGCAACATAGTTGGTTCTACGCCTAGCTGCATGCTGTACAAGGGGACATTATCGAGTGGAGTTGAAATAGCAGTTGTGTCAAGCTCAGTAACATCCGTGAAGGATTGGTCAAAAGAATGTGAATCCCACTACAGGAAGAAGGTAGCATGCTACTTACCTCATCTATTCTGTGGTTATAAAAAAGACGGGAGTGTATTTTTGCAGAATCCACACTTATGACTGAATCTCCATTGCTTGATCAGATCACAAGTTTATCCAAAGTTAGCCACAAGAATTTCATGAATCTACTTGGCTATTGCGAGGAAGATACCCCTTTTACCAGAGCAATGGTTTTTGAATATGCTCCAAACGGAACGCTTTTTGAGCATCTCCATGGTAAGTGACTTCCAGAAACATCATAACTTTGTCCACAGCAGTGCGTTCATTAGCCATAAACTAGGCAATATGATTTCAGTTATCTGGATCTCGTATTGGTTTTCTAACTCGTACTTAATGAAGCACGTGCTAATGCACGCTTTCGAAAAAAAAGATCTCGTATTGATTGAAAATATGTCACGTACTCCAGTACACCTGACAACATGTTCGATTGCATCGCAGTTAGAGAAGCTGATAACCTGGACTGGGCGACACGGCTGAGGATATCGATGGGGATAGCTTACTGTCTGGAGCACATGCTGCACCAGCTGAATCCACCTGTTGTGCCAAGGAACTTTGACTCAAGCACTATATACCTCACTGATGACTTTGCTGCAAAGGTCTCAGACCTTGATTTCTGGAGCGACACAGCCACCAAGGGATCCGATTCCAGTTCAACCACTGACGATGAGTTCTCCTCAGTTTCAGACATAGATGTCATGGTGCATCAGTATGGCATGCTATTGCTGGAGATACTAACCGGAAAAGTTGCCTACTCCGAAGAGGAAGACGGGGTTTCACTGGAACAGTTGGCATCTCGCTACTTCGATGGCAACATGCCCCTTGCGGAGCTGATTGACCCGAGCCTCGATTCGTTCCCTCAAGAAGCCGCGCACGCAATGTGCGAGGTCGCAAGGTCTTGTGTGGACCCAGACCTGAAGAAGAGACCAAGGATGGTACAGGTGGCTGCTAGGATGGAGGAGATCACCGCGCTGGGACCTGAGGGAGCGACTCCAAAGGTGTCGCCGCTGTGGTGGGCGGAGCTAGAGATCATGTCCTCTGAAGCTAGCTGATGAATCGTGAAACAAACCACCGTCTGGATGCAGTGATTCATTCTCAGTCTCCTCCCGCTGCGATTGGAAAAATCCTTTGGATTGTATTGTGTTGTGGTTGCGGAGCCTGAAGAGTTATTAAATTACTTGTGGTTTCTTCTTTTGCGTTTTTCTTGGTAGCATTGTGTATGTGTATATATCGTCATCATCACCAGCGCTTCAGCAAACTAACAGTAAAAGTGAGAAAGCAGCAAAAAGGGGGGAAAAGTCTGTCTTCCAATATACTGTGTATGTGTACATATGCTACTACTGGATGGAACATACATACATGCACTAGTATGTTATATATATTGTACAAGAAGAAGATGGTGCTTGGTGCGGGGCAGGAGCTAGCTAGCAGATAGTAGTGAAGCCATGCCAGGGTGATGCTGGGCTGCCAATTAATGCTATGGTGGTTGTCGACGGAGCACAGTAAAATAATAAAATGAAGCCATATATGAGCACGACCTCGCCCCCAGAATAAACGACGACATGGCGAGGACGGTTCTGTTCATCCTCTCACCTTCACATAGACGATGCTGTTGGAACCGCTTGACTTGGTCGTTACAGTAGGTTTATATTTCCTTCTTTTTAAATAACAAAATTACAGGGTTATAGTTTTTCGCTAGAGCAAACCAGCGAAATGTTGTCTTCTACAATTACATACAAAAAATGAATTGTCTTTTAAAAGGTCCATGCGTTGTTTATCCTTCTTCGACTATCGAAAATTCGAAATCGTGCAAAATAACCTCATATGGATATTCAAAAGTATTTTCCCCATTCATGTTGTGCGATGGCATGGCAACCAGTCAAATAGTGAAACAACTTGGAGTATCCATTATTTTCTTTACTACCCGTGCCTTTGCTCTCTTAATCATTGTTATTGGCACATCCACTCCCATGTCCTCTTGTAATGTCTCCTTCATTGCTCTAGCCTTCCAAGATGGAAAAGCCTTGATAGTACTCTCATACCTGTCACATATCTTACTTATAGATAACCTTTTATTTTTAAGCTCAGGACAACAAGCATGATTGGGAATATAAGTTCTAATCTGAAACCAATCTGACCTTGAGTTATATGAAGCATATAGAAGCCTAAGGGCAACCTTTCCACCTACAAACAGCCCTAATCCTTTTCAGGTCATTCTTCACATATTTGATATTTGTCTTCATCTTCAATGCATACCTCTCTATTGCATCCTTCAATTCATCCCTTCCTCTAAAACACATGTCAACACAGAATGGGGAGTCTCAGCAGAACTATCAAATATTGAGAACCTGCACTTCCTTCTTGTAACTACACCATCACTATCCTCATCATATGATGCATCTCCATCTGAATCAAAGTATGGAACACCATCTCCACCTTCTAAAGCCTGATCACTACTGTTAGGATCAGCGCAGTGTATGACATCCACCTCAATTGGGTTGTCCAATGGAATATCTCCTCTCTTCTTTACTTCCGACATAAAGTCGTTGTATTTAGTTCTTATCTCCCTAAATTCATCATCTTCATCAATTGTGAAACCTGTTGCATGACATCCACTCTCTGACTCTGATTTTGATTCTGATTCTGATTCTTCTTCTTCTTCTTCTTCATTCAGACCATCCTGACATTGGGTTGGACCTTCCAGACGCAGCATGTTAGCATCCTGAACAGTTTGTTCCTTGACAACAGGTTCTTGCATGATCCAAATCCATGATATTGTCATCTTGAAATAGGGCAAATACATCATCATCTGCATACTGTGTTTTGGTTTTTTCATTCCCACCAACACTAATTGGTTCGGTGTATATATCCACAGCCCTACCAGTTCCCAGCTCATTAATCATGTCCAAACATGACTTGTCATCTACAAGTAACTTTATTCCACTATTCAAATCTGCACCATATGGCAACCAGTACATCCTAACAGATCTAGGAAAAGTTGTGTGATCCAATAGGTGGCCTTCAAGTTCAAGGATAGATATCTTGTCCTTCTCTACGTGGGACACCTCAGAATCCCCATTGCAATACAACATCTTGGACGCATCAAGAACAAATTCCCCATTAAAATGAAATCGAACCTTCAGTACCTCAAATTCAGACATTGTTTTGCAGCCCTAAAGATCCACTATATGGCCAAATTGAAACATTCTACCAGAAAAACAAATCAAATCGCAAAACCAGCTAGGTGCCACTTTCATCTTACCGTGGAGCATGTCCACTCCTCTTCCCGCGTCGTGGTCGCGTATGAGCAGGTGTCCGCCTCCACCAGCAAAAGGGGCGCGCCTCACCCCCTTCCAGCGCTGCGCCTGCCCCACACTGCTCTTCTCCTCTCGTGGCTCTTCCTCCCGTGAGACTGGGCGGCTCCTCTCGCGAAACCTGAGGCGCCGGATGGACGAGATCGAGAGAAGAGGGGAAACGGGGAGGAAACGGTGGACGGGACACCGTGAAGCCTGGGCGGCTTCCAAAAGGATGGGCGAGGGGCAGCAATGACTTTTGGCATGTAGTCCTGGACACATGGCGATTACTTGGTGGGGATGGACGAGATCGACCCGCAGATGAATTGTTTAAGGACTAAACTGGATATTTTGAAAGTTAAAGGACCAAAGTAAGCCTCCGACAATAGTTTGGGGACAAAGATGGCTATTTCGCCAAAAAAAATCACAACTTTTTGTTTTTGGAAAGTTACAAAGTTGTGCTCATAGCTTTTATGCCCGTAACTTTTTGCCGACAAAACTTATGACCATATTTTTTTTAGAAAGTTGTAAAGTTATGCACATAACTTTTGGGTGTGTCTTAAGCACAGTCGCCTAACCACCGCATATCCATCAGGTGATGATGAGAGCCGTTGGATCCTAATCCAACGGAGCAGCAATCGTCTTCAACCTGTGGATGCGTCGGATGGAGCTCCCCCATGCGTCCTGCTTGTTCTCGCCCTGTGGGTTGTCGAACCACAAGGTCCATGAGTGCTGGAGCGGGTGCGCGTGGGGAGGGCCGGCACAGGGGCGGCGGCGGCGATCTCGCTCTCCTCCCCATCATCGTCCTCCGTAGCGTGCATAGGTCGGCCCCGAGAGCCCGTGGCGGACGGCCTCGTGTCGATCTCATCCGCCATGGCGACGGCGGTGGATGAGATGGGTGCGAGTTGTGCGACGCGGCGAGTCCAAGGGAAGGGAGGTTTGGACTGGCTACGCTTGGGTCTGCAGTCTTGCCATGGGTCGGGATCCGGAGGAAGGAAGGGAACAAGAGAGTTGGGCTAGTCTCTGCTGGGCCAGGTGAGTGTCTGCTGTGGTTGGGCTGAGCTGATCTGGGTGACTGATGTAATTGCAAAATTTCAGCAACTGTGAAGAAGTAATTATGATAACTTTTATGTATAATATTTTGCGGAACAAAATTTATCACCGTAAGTTCTTAGAAAAATTACAAAATTATACACAAAATTTTTGAGTATAACATTTTGCAAAACAAATTTAACATCATATTGTTTTATCATAAATTTTTTGATATAGTTTTAGTAATTTTATAGAAAACTTATCATGACATTTTTTTACATTATTTTCACAAGCTAATTTTTATTTATAATTATCAGTAGACATTTTATCATAACAATTCCTCAACATAAATTTCTAGAGCAATTTTTGTATAATAATTTTACGAGTAACAAACTTATACACATAAGTTCTTGTCATCTAATAACTTTTTATTACATATATACATAATTTATTTCGGACAAACTTTTGCATTTAAAAAGAATAAAAAGGAAAAAGGTAAAAAAAAACTGTAATACGCGGACGACACGTTTCAACCGGATAGAACACAAAAACGATAAAAAAAAAGGAGAAGATTTGCAGTCAGGTTTGTGTTGGCGCGGTGAGGCTCACGTTCGCTCGGCACCAAAGATCGCCAAACAGGATTTGGGTTTCGTTTATAGAGTACACAAGTGCAATGTCAATATTTCGCTTAGGAGTATGCATGCATGATGAAAGAACGCGATCGACTTTATTATGAGAGTTTCAATCTAGGAGGAAGAAGAGACATGCACGCATGATGAGTCGATAGCTTGGAGTTGACATGATGTCGGCCGGCCTGTTTCTACTGCGGGTTGGGTGGCCTCGAGTTTGCAGCGGAGACCCTGGATCCCCATTCCAGGAGCTCCTTGCTGGTGTCGTCCTTGTGCGCCACCACCTCGATGAAGCAGAGGCAGTCCTTGTTGTCGTCGGCGGTGGCCGTAGCGATGGCCGCCGTGAGCTCCTCCTCGGTGGCCACCCTGGCGGTCCAGCACCTCCCCTGGCCGTTGTGGATGGCGTCGACGAGGCCCGTGTAGTCCCAGTTCTTGATGACGTTGTAGGGCCCGTCGTGGATCTCCACCTCGATGGTGTAGCCGCCGTTGTTGATGAGGAAGATGATGCTCCGCTGCTCGCACCGGAGCATCGTCGACACGTCCTGCGCCGTCACCTGGAAGCTGCCGTCGCCGATGCAGGCGATGACGCGCTTGTCCGGGGCGCCCTGGGCATACCCGAGCAGGGCGCCCACGGACCAGCCGATGGAGCCGTACTGCATCTGGAACTCGTACCTGCCATGGTTGCTGTTAGCATAATGTAATTATGGTAGATTGCCCATTGATTATGGCCGTAACCTTGCACCTACGTGGTTGGCTTGCATGCCACCCGAGTGCCTATATATATACTCTTGTACAAGATATGGAATACATTCAATTCCTTCCGATCACGTTTACACGTTTACATGGTATCATGATCCGTTCCGCTTTCGCAATTCCAGCCTAGCCGCCGCCATCAGGTCGCCGCTAGCCACTGCTGCTGATCCGATCGCCCACCCGTCGCTGATCCTATCGCCGGGCGCCGCTGCCGATCCGATCGCCAGTGCTTCCGCAGCTGCTGGTTCGTCGCGCTGCCGTCCCTCCCTCATGCCGGACGCCGACGCCGATGCGGCAGCAGCCGCCCAGGCGGCCGAAAAACGTCGCCTCGCTGATGAAGCTGCA